TTTAGTGGTAGCCTCATGCTCTGCGGATCGTCTCCTTTTCATCCAATCAGGCAGAGTTCCGTTCTTCGCGTAACCCTCGATCGCAAGAGGAGTGTCGCCTCACGGCGTGCAATATGACTGACGTCGGCAGCTGCTTGTGTAACCTTGATCTGGTCGGCCCTGGAGATCCAGGTGCCAGATGATAGGTTCTCAGGTGCAGCCACAACATCGACTGCCGAATTATCGGTGTGTTTTGATGGGTGCTTGTATCTTATACGCTCGGATAGTAGAATCTGGGGCAGCATTATTGTGTGTTTCTGTTTTTTTTTTCGTGTGTCCCGACGACCCCAAGTGGTACACCGCCCGAGGCTTGAACTCGCGACCTTTTTCATCAGAAGTCTAACGCCCTAACTGTTGAACCACAAGCTCTTTGTCTTGCCGATTTAGATCGAGACATATTAGCACTCGTTGATGAACGTTCACCGATCGCTAGCGGAACTCATTCGAGCCTGGGTGGTGCACCATTTGGGATTGGGTATGGCTGGCTGATGACGGCTAATAAGCCAGAAATAGCCATGCCAGCCTCCATTGATTAGAGTTAGGATTAACCACCTACCCTTTCTTTGATGGATGGACGTCCACCGGTCGCTGATGGAGTTCGTTCCGCTCTCCCTTGGGGCTCATCATCGAGCCCCACCAGGAGTCGCACACAGCGGCCTGGAAAATTGGCAGCTTTTCAAGTACAGCACTTTTCGCCTGAGCTACGGGCCCACTATCGGAGCTGATGCAAGGCTTATTTAAGATATTACGTTGAATTGACCTTCAATATTCCGATGCCGCCTTAAGGGTCACGTCCTCCCCGGCCTGTTCGTCCGATGACGGGATGTAGGCGTGAACCGGTTATTCACCTATCGACTGTTTAGATGAATGAGCCTATCAATAGTAATTGCCTGTTTATGACCCGCGCATTCTACTTGTACATAACCTAACCCGTGAGATTGCCCGACCGTTGTTCCCACAGCCAGCACGAGAGAGG